AAAAAAAAATTCTTTATCGTTCACCAAACAAATTTCAAACAAAGAAATGATACACAACAACAGTACTCGAGAACACATGAACACGATTGAATTCAACTGTAGTACTGGTGACCCTGATGAAAGCATTCCAACAACTGTTCTTCAATCATTCCTGAGTGCAATGCGAAACACGATTGAAGCTCGTCTACTTAATATCAAACAACGAACTGAACAACTTATGCTATTTATCCAAGTATCCTCTCAATAGAAAACATCTCTTTTTCATACGTTTTATTGACTAAATCAGTATATTGTTCTTCTCAATTGAACATTTCAAATACAAGTAGTGTCCATTTTCAATTTCACTATCATGAAACTTTTCTTCTAATAAAAGCCAAAGCATATACATCTAATACTTTCATCTATTTCAGATATACATCTCGTTCAAAGTTAACTATTCTTCTACTGTACCAACCCTGTCCATTCCACGATGCAATCATTGTAACCCTAAAGCTACTCACCTGCCTGTGGTCAATAAAATTCTACTAGGCATTATCTGACATAAATAAACCACAATATGGACAACATATTCTTCACCATACAAGAAATCCTGGATTTTTCATCCTCGCACACGCTACAAGTGAAGAAGTCCCTCGATCCATAATATATATAGGGACGTCTGAATACAGATGCAAACAATAACCTCAACATAAAATATTATCGTATTTATCTAAGCAACAAGTAAATCCAAACTATTCTGGGTAATACCCTGGCAGGGTAAGTAATTCTTCAAAAAAAAGAGTAGGCAAACATAGCGAATAAGTTCTGCCATAACGAGGACTGAATGCATCAACAGCGCAACATTCTGCGGAGCACAAAATACCATCAGCAAAGCTATATCACCAAGACCATTCAGGCATGAGCTATTAAAAACAAACACTCAAAGAATCATCAGTAGCACTATAACGCTGAACTAAAACAATACCACAACTATACACCCATGTATACCAAAAATAGCTCGACATACAATTTTTATACGACTAATTTCCCCAAAACAAGCATATGTACTTACCACCTAAAAGCGAAAAAATTCCTTTCACGATACAATACAATTGATTATACCCAATAAATCTATAAAAAACTAATACTAATAGCAGATCTAATAAAACAAGTAAAACATCTACCAGGAAGTAAACACAAACTCAAGGTATACAGTTAAACAAATCCATCGAAAAAAAGGCCAAACCGCTATTGAAAATAATTGAAAAACTTTCTAAGTTTTGTGGTAATTCTACACACTCACTCAGAGTTATAAATTTTACTCATTTTCGAGTTTAATTTATTGTACTTTGTATTAGATATTTGAAATTTTTCTTTTCTTTGAAATTTTTTCGAGATCTTCTGTACGAGTACTTGCCACTTGACAATATTCTATTGAAAATAATTGAAAAACTTTCTAAGTTTTGTGGT